TACCATGACAAGAAGTTCAGACTTTTTTTGTGATGGGTTTTTTCGAGATAGCATCTCACAAATTATTTGCCCAGGGCTGACTATGAATCTCAATCCTCCTGATCTCTGCCTTCTGAGTAGCTGGGATTAGAGATATGAGCCACTTAGCACCCAGCTACGAGAGGTCATCAGTTTTGTTTATACCTGGAATAATACTTGGCCTAAAATAGGCACTAAATAAATATGTGGTAAATAAATGGACAAATATTCCATACAGTAGTCTTGCCACACATCTCAGACTTAAAGGGTTGCAAGACTTATACCATCCAGCTGTACCACAAGGTTTGTAAACATTCCTGTCAGGTTTGCTTTTTTTCTGTGGTACTGGGGTTTGAACCTAGGACTAGGCACTCTGCCACTTGAGCCACAACTCCATTCCACAATGTTTGTTTTAATGGCACAAATTAGGTGAAATATATTGCCACTTAAAGATTTTCACGTTTTTTATTTTATCCTCAGAACTGCTGTACATTAAAATTTTATCTCCAGGTGTATTCATTTAATATTCAAGTTAAATAAATGAATATTTAAACTCATTTGTTTAATGAGGAATGTATTTTATAGAGTTTTCTGCTACTTGCATTAGTTGCTGAAAGAGCTAACAAGATGGGAATGAACTTTTAAAATATGATTATTAAAAGTTTTAAGTAAATAATGTATAAATGATTACATAAAAAGTTAAGTAAAGATACACTTAAAAGTATTTTTTAAGCTGGGTGCTATTGGCTCACACCTGTAATACAAGGTACTTGGGAGGCTAAGATGTAGAGGATCACAGTTTGAGGCCACCCTGGGCAGGTAGATAGTTCATGAGACCCCATCTCCAAAATAACCAGAGCAAAATGTACTGGAGGTGTGCCTCAGATGGTAGAGTGCCTGCTTTGTAAGAAGCATCAACCCCTTTGTTCAAACCCAAATCCCACTAAAAAAGAAAAGAAGGTATTTTTAAATTTATTACTTGACTTATCAAACTTTAAATGTCTTAATCCATGCATGATGGAAGGAAATTTTATATGTCCTCTTCTTTTGTCATACAATGTACCGTTAAATATGATACTTACAAGGCATTTTTAATAAGAAATCAGAATGATAATTTCTTCTCTCTTTCAACATGTTTGAAGAACTTACCCATAAGTTCAGTATGTTAATTTTTACACATAGTTTGAGGTAGGGGTCAAGATTTTTGTTTTTCTTTCCATGTGGATATTCAGTCATTCCAACAATATTTATTGAAAAGATGGTTATATCCCCACAAATCACCTGGGCGCAGTTTTGAAAATCAATTGGTTATATATGTGGGGAATCTCAACATGTCTATCCTTTTGTATGTTGCACACATGCACTGTCCAATACGCTATTTTACTGCTATAATATCACAGTGCCTTGATTACTGTTGCATTATAGTAAGGCTTGAAGGCTTGAAATCATAGTTGATTCTCCCTTATCAACATATTTTAGCTCTTTTGAATCTGTATATACATTTTAAAGTAAGTTTGTCAACTTTCATCAAAAGAGATTGTTGGGATTTTGATCGGAATTGTGTTGAATCTATAGATCAATTTTGGGAAATTTTTCACCTTAACAATTAACCTACCAATCCAAATTCATGGTATCTAGCTCCATTTACTTAATTTCCCTCAGCAACCTTTTGTGATTTTTCTTATACAAATCTCACACATTTTGTTAAATATATCAAGTATTTTAAATTTTGCTCTTATTGTAAATGGCATTACTTTAAATTTTTATTTTCTAAAATTCATTGGTAGAAAACAGATACACAATCGATGTTCATATATTGACCTTGTATATTTTGAGCTCGCTATAGTCACTCTTTTATTCTAGTATTTTGCTGTTGTCATTGTCTCTGGTTTCCTAGCACACGGGCCTGGTTGGTTTTGCTTCCCGGTCCAAATTTGAAGGAGGTAGCTTGTTTGGTCCCATATGAACTGATTTTCCAGGCCCATCTCAGGTATTCAAGGCTGCAGTGATTGAGTGATTGCAATGGTGGAGCAAGAGATCAAGTCCAGTATTACCATTTAAACAAAATAGAAACATGGAGTTAGAAGCGGCATTTCATTTTGAGTGTACAGAATTCATGAGACAAACATCTATAAATATTACATCTCTCAGGCCTATCTATATACTTTGCTACTTCCTTTGCCTTTGGTTCCTCCATTCAGGAGACCCCTAGGAGTGCCTCTTCTGGTGTCCCAGTAGGCTTCTCCAACCTGTATACTTTCTGTGGCTCCCTCTAGTGCCTCCTTTCAGAGTACCACCTCTGGTCAGAGACTAGCAAAAAACTAGCAACTGAATAGTTGACAAGTGTGCAAGACTAAAGCTGGCTGGGGCACAACTAGACACTGATTGGAGCTGTAACAGAGATACTGAAGGGGGAGAAATGACCCAAATATTGTATGCACATATGAATTTAAAAAAAAAAAGAGAAACTGAAGAAGACTCATGGAAGTATCCTAGAGGCATCTACTAGATGCTTTCTGAGGTGAGGCCTGTAATACAAGGAGCTTCAGGCTAGAGCAAATCCTGTAAACAAAACTATGCTGAGAACTGGTAGAAACTGTTGAGAGAGTAATCCAGTGTTTGGAGAGGTAGGAGGGACTAAATTATTAGTCTTTGGACATTGGGCCTGGGTTTGAAATATATTTAGAAGTTACTGGAATTCTATGGATGGAAGAGATAAACTCAGATTAGTAATTTAGAAAAATAACTCTATGGAGGACAGATTGGGGGAAGGGAGAGATTTGAGTGGGGGCAGATGTTACTGTATTCCAGATAAAAATAATGAAGGCTTGAGCCAAGACTATGAAAGCAATTGGAAAGGCGCTATAGAGGCACGTATCAATGTAATATGGTCATTTTGGGAGATGGAAGCATGTAATACAAGAAGTATGGAGCTGAAACAAAAAATAGTGAAACCACTGACCAAACCTAGGAATCAGGTAGAATACACAGATGAGGCAAATCAATAAAGGTACTCAATATGTTAAGTTTGAGGGGCTTGTAAGACCTGTGGATTAGCACAGAGATGGAATTATAAATGTAAAACTTAAAAGTAGTCTCCATGTAGCTAAAATCTTCAAGGATGATAATTGAAACTGTAAGAGTACATTACACCATTTAGGAAGACAGTATAGCATTAAAAGAGCATTGGAGGCTAGGGGTTAGCTCTGTAGAGCACTTGACTAGCCTGGATTTGATCCCCAGCACTGGAGGGAGGGGAAGCAAGAGAGGGCACATTGGAGCCTTGGAGAATGCTAAGTTTATGAGAAAGAGGAGGTATTTTGGAGCTTGATATAGATTGGAGTAGAACCAGAAGAGCTTACCCAATAAGGAAAGAATATTTAAGGAGGACTTAGTGATCAGTAACCTAAACAAGAGATGTATGCAAGGATCACTGCGTTTGAAGTTGAGTATTGGTATTGGCAAGAGCAGAATCCAAGAAGGTTTAGAAACTGCCTAAACAGAACACACTACAGTCCAAGTTACTTGCTTTTAGAAGTTTGAAGATAAAGGGATGAAGTGAGAAAGGAAAGTGCCTTAAGGGAGGAAAAGGGTCATTTGAACCAGGAGCTATTCTCTTCTGTTTTTATCAAGCACTTGGCTTACACAATTGTGCATGTCAAGAAGGACTCTCCAGTTCTAACTTACCATCTGGAAAAGCAAGAGAGGGACATAATCTATCAGACTCAAATTTTGCCTTCACAACTTTGGCTAAGGCTTGTACCGGCCAACCCTCTGCCCCAAACAAACCACCAACCTCCTTGGCTTTTTTTTTTTTTTTAAACAATCCAGAAGACCTGAACAGGTGCACAGCTGCCTTCCAGTTTGAGCCCTGAACCCCTTTCCAAGCTGGCCTGCTTTAACCCGCGGGTGCTCAGCTCCGGGCAGGCCCGGCACAAACCCGACACCACCGCTTCGGAGCGGCGTGCCCGGTCATCCCACCATTGGCTTTGCCTGCCGCGGCCTTCCGTGGGTGACATTATGTCCCACACGAGGCGCGTAGAAGTGGGCACAGTCTGGACACCGTTTGCCCTGCCTGCGGCCCCTCCAGCCAAGTTAGTCAGCGTCCATTAATCTCACCGCGTCGCACCGCCCCCACCACTGCTGTCAGGCTGAGGGGAAGGATTAAGATCCTCTATCTTCTCACTCTGCAAAGGGAAATGGCAGAATCCACTCTAGACAGCAAAGGGGTGTGTTGCCCAGGCGGGGTCTCTGAAACCCCGCCCCGGTAAACACCACCTCCTTCCCGGCCCGCCCTCCAAGCGCCAATGACTACACTTCCCAGAGGTCTCTGCGGCCCAGCGGGGCGGGACCGTCTGCTATCCCGCGTTCGCCGAGCAGGGACTGGTTTTCAGGGAGAGGGGCGGAGCTTATCCCACCCAATAGACGAGAGGCTCGTTACGGCGGCGGAAGCAGCGGCGCTAGAGTGAGGGGTGGGGGGCAGAGTGCTAGCGCCCTGGCGGCTGCTGCGGGTCTGGAGCAGGAGGACGTCGGCTCCACTAGGTGAGAGCGCACCGGAGCGAGTTCGAGGTGGCGCGACGGCCACTCAGCGCAGCATCCAGGTAATGGCGGGACGGGCGACCGGGAGGGAAGGGGAGGAGACGAGGGGGCGGGGCGGCCGAGCCGGGCTGCAGCGTCCGTCCCTCTGCGCGTCCCCGGGGAAGGACAGTGGTGCCTCCGCTCCTGCAGCTTGGACCCCGGCTCTTTCGCGAGTTGGGCACGGCGGTTGAGCTGGCAGTAGGGGCCGGGTGTCCGGTGGCGAGGAAGGGAGAGGCACCAGGAGGGGTGGGCTGATCCAGCCATGGGGGCGTGGCGGAGTCAGGCCTTGGCAGGGTAGCGGAGCGGCCGAGGCAGCGCGGGCGGGCGGGCGGGCGGCCCAGGGAGTTTGGCTCCTACAGCAGTTTAAAGTGACTCTCCACATCCGGGCCCTGCGCCCGCCGCTTTCAGACCCCGACCGAGGCGGGGCCTTTCAGTTCTCCGCCTCCCTCGCCAGGAGCGCCTGTCTCCCTCTGCCATTGGCTCACCCTCGAGGGGCTTGGGCTGCCCCGACTAGGCTTGCCCCTAATTGGCTGGCGATCGGCGGGAGGGTGGGGCGGGCCCAGAATGCGCAGGCCGCTGTGGATTGGTGCAGAGCCTCCAGTGACGCGCCGGGCGTGGGGCCAATGGGCGGGCGGGGGAGGTAGGGGCAGGTTCGAGGGAAGAGGACTCGGAGCAGAGCTGCGGCCGGGTGGTAGGGTGAGTGTAGCGGACCGGCTGGACAGCGGCGGGCCCGGGGCGCGCTCCTGCACGAGACCTCCGCGTGTCCCTGGAGCCCATCGCTGACATGGGCTCTCCGCGGCACCCCCAGGCCGGCGAGATGGAAGCGGGAGGGGCGGGCGGAGGCTACAGGTAAAAAGGCACACTGCTTATCATGTCGAGAGGTTCCACGGAACGCCTTCTCCCCCCCGCCCCCCGGGAGACGGAATTTTGGGCTCCCGAAGTGTCTGGAAACCTGTATCCTCCGAGCTCAGCGGGGGTTCGGGATGTTGTAGGGTTGGGGGTTAGTCCGGGGGAGATGGATAGAGCTTGGTTCCTGAGGGGAAAGTGGGGAACGATTTTAGAGAAGGTGGGGAAGGTCTCGGGTCTCTCTGGCTTAGTGGGGGAATCTCTGAAACAGAGCAAAAAAGGAAAACGGTAAATGGAGGCCTTTGCAGGAAAGCGCTTGAGAATTCCTTGGGCATCAGGTCTCAATTTAAGATTTCAAATCCTTTCTTGAGGCTGGGCATTTCCCTTCTTATGACATACTAATTATGGTTCTGTTTACCTTGATGTGAGGTTTGAATCTTTCAAAGGGACATGCTATTTTCCATAAAACTTTACGCAGATAGATACATATGCCTTGTGGTAATACCTATTGTATGGCTGTTGTGCAGGATTCAATGTATTTTGTTGATTTTTCGCGTACTGGGGTTTGAACTCAGGGCCTCCTGCTTCCTAGGCAGGCACTCTATCACTTAAGCCATTCCACCAACCTTGTATATATGTTTTTTAACATCACAATCCACAAGTATTTTGGAGGGTCATAGTATCCCCCACCCTGTATAAATGATGTGATTACTAATTTAACGGATTACATAAAGTCATTTAGACAGTTTATAATGATCACAATTCATTGTTTTAAATAAATGGTGCTGCATTTGCTTTTCCAAGAGACTATATCATGGGTGCTAAAGATGCTTTGATTTCTCAATATTGGTTCTAATTTCAGAATCTAGTAATAACTATATGACTATGAACTGCAGGTGGAAATGAGTTCTCAACAGTTTCCTCGGTTAGGAACCCCTTCCACTGGACTGAGCCAGGCACCTTCACAGATGGCAAACAGTGGTTCTGCAGGATTGATTAACCCAGCTGCTACAGGTGAGATGTGTAATAGTCTTCTATATTGCTTCCTGTTTTAAGAATATTGCCAGTTTTCTAACTTAAAAATTAGCAAATTCCCTTTAGGATTCTAGTAAGTATTAGTTTCCTGAATTTAAAGAAAAGGGTATATTATTATACTAATATAAATATGGCATTTTTTTTCTCTTTTTTTGTGGTACTGGGGCTTGAACTCAGGGCTTCATGCTTGTTAGACAAGCACTTTTTCCTCCTGTTTTAACCACTTCATTCACATATGCTAGAGTCCACATGCAACTTAAAGTATACCTGTAAGAACTGTTTTTAAAATGCATTAATGGATTCTCATTTAATTAACTCCCATCAAGGAACCCAACAGTGTGTAAGGCATAGGTTTTGTTTCTTCGGAGCTTCCTATTTAGAAATATAGCCGTATTTCCAACTTAGTTTTTATTTTTAATATATTTTTCCAGTAGTTTTCAATGGGGGGTGATTTTTGCCTTCAGGGGAGTATTTGATAATGTATAGAGACATTTTGGTTGTCACAACTAGGGGGTGCTATTGTCACCTGATAGGTAGAGCCCATGGATGCTGCTAAATATCCTAAAATACACCACGCAGCCCCCTTTCCCCTCAAAGAATTATCCAGGCCAGCCAACAGTCCTGAAGTTGAGGAACTCATCCAAATGCTGTTTTGTTTTGTTTTTTCTATTAAGTAAAAAGATGGCATTGCAAAGTGAAATGCCCTTTTCTATTTTTCTTTACCCCCCAGTTCTTGTGTTCCTATAGTAAAAAGTACAACCGTCTACTCAATGATCAAACTAGTAGCTGAGGCATCTTTAATTGTTCTTTCTTCCTCTTTCTTTTTTACTGTGTAGGTCAGGCTGGCCTCAAACATTCTGTCCTCCTACTTCAGCCTCTGAAGTGCTGAGATTACAGGCAGGTGAACCCATGCCTGGCTGTCTTTGTCTCTGACCAGTGAGCTGTGGCCCTTATATAATGTCTTAGCCTTCTTTCCTGTTGTTTTGCCTACCCTGTACTAACTTATGTTTTTGTGACAAATTTACTGCAGTTCTTTAGGCTTGAAGTTACTTTAAGCCTGTTGCTAGTGTCTATGCATAATTTCTGAATGAATGATGCAAAGTTCCCAATTTTCATGACATTACGACTTTACACATTCTTTTCCTATGCCACAGTCTTTCTTTCTTTCCATAATGAGTTATTTGGTTAATTCTTATTCTTCCTTGAGGGTTTATTTTAGATGTCATTTTCTCAGAAAGTTTTTGCTGACTCCATCTTCCACAGGAATTCAGGTCATGACCTCCCCTAGAATGAAGGCTACATGAAAGCCAGGGCCATGTGTGTTTCACACATTTTTGCATGTGTAAAGCTGTTGTGGTCAACAGTTTCTTATAGACCCACTTAACATTTTTTATTCCTTAATATATATTTTTTAACAATATTTTACCTTTGGTATAAATTAACAACAGGATAATTTAAAAGAATGTAGCTGAAGAGAACATTGTTTTTCTTTGGTAGTAGTGGGGTTTGAACTTAGGGTATCATACTTTTTAAGTAGAACTGTTTTGAACATTTATTCTTTTCAAAGAATTAAACTGCTCATTTAAAGAGATGTTATTTAGCAATAATTGTCTTCAAATTTTGGGGGGAGATAAATCATTGATTTAGACCAAAAATGACTTTAATTTTACTTTTAAAGAGTACAAATATGCTTGTTTATTCTTTTGATGACTTTTAGGAAAGACAATGGAAGTTTTCTAAGTAGTTTGAAGCTTTCTGTGTTTTGCATTATCACAATAGACAATTTGGTGTCTTAAGCATGTCAGGATTTCAGGGATAGGTCCAAAATTAATAAATATAGAAGAAAGAAAATATAGATAGTAATGGTTAAAGTGCTCACCTAGCAAACACGAAGTCCCAAGTTCAAAACCCAAAAGAAAAAAAAAATTTTCTTGCCTAGCACAGTGGTACATGACTATAATTTTAGCTACTCAGGATGCAGAAATCCACAGGATCACAGTTTGAGGCTAGTCCAGGCAAAAAGTTTCTGAGACCCCATCTCAAGCAATAAAAAATTGGGCATGATAGAATGTGCCTATCAACCTGGCTATGTGGGAGGCATAAACAAGAGGATCGTGGTCCTGGCCAACCCAGGTAAAAATGTGGTACCTTATTTGAAAATAACCTAAAGCAAAAAGGGCTGGGACTGGCTCAAGTAGTAGAGCACCTGCCTAGCAAGTATGAGGCCCTGAGCTCAAACCCCAGTACCACCAAAAAAAAGTACAGAGAACTAATGTTTCAGGGTTTTTTCCTGTTAAAAATAAACTGAAATCCAGTGTCTAGAAGGAAATGGTAAGTGAATTCCCAAATCACCTAACAGGAAATGATTAGTATATTGGATTAAAATCAGTCTTAGGTTTTGGGAAAATGAAAAATTGTGCATTTCCATTAAATTTTTTAAGGTTGGCAAAAAGTTAGGAGATCCATTGTCAACAAAACAAGCTGGACATGGTTGGCATGCCTGTTATCCCAGCTAACTGGGAGGCATAGTTAGGAGGATGCCAGACCCCGGCAAGAAACAAGACTCTTATGTGAAAAATAACCTAAAGCAAAAAGGGCTGGAAATACAGGTCAAATGGTAGAGCACTTGCTTAGCAAGTACAAGGCCCTAAGTTCAAACTGGAGTACTACAAAGAAAAGAAAAAAGATTGAAACATTGCTGAGAGAAATTAAAGAAAGATAAATGAAAAAAAATCTATCATGTTCATGAGTTGAAACACTCAATATTTTTATATCGGTTCTCCCTAAAGGGATCTACAGATTCAAAGATACCCTACTTAAAATTGTAGCAGGTTGTTTTACCAAATTCAACTGCTTGATTCTAAAGTTTATGTAGAAATCCAAGGATTTGTCATAAAAAGAAAAAAGGCATTACTGCTTTATTTAAAAACTTGCTACAATACTACACTAATCAAGATGGTTTAGCCAGTCGCCAGTGGCTCATGCCTGTAGCTACTTAGAAGGCAGAGATCAGGAAGAGATAGACGTTCTAGGCCAGTCTAGGGAAAATGAAAATGAGACTATCTCAAAAAATATGCAACACAAACAAGGGCTGGCAGAGTGGCTCTAGTGGTAGAGTGCCTGTCTAGCAAGCAGGAGACCCTGAGTTCAAGCCCTAAAACTACAAAAAAGATGGAAATATAGGCCGGGTACAGTGGCTCACAACTGTAATTCTAGCTACCCAAGGTAGAGATTCTGAGGATCACAGTTTCAGGCCAGCTTCAGAAAAGTTAGTGAGACCCCATCTCAGTAAAAAGCTGGGTAAGGTGGCATCCACTTGTAATCCCAGCTATGCAGAAAGGCAAAGTAGGAGAATTGTGGTCCAGGCTAGGTCAGGCAAAAAAATGCAAGCCCCTATTCAAATAAATAAATGAAAATAATAATGAAAGCAAAAAAGGGTTGGGGGCGTGGCTCAAGTGATACAGTTGGTCCTGAGTTCAAATCCTTGTACTGCCAAACAAAAGATTAAAATGTAGATCAAGAACCCACACATATATGGCCAGTTAATTTTTTTTTTTTTTTTACAGAAGCATATAAGTAATTGAATGGGGAACCTTGAATCCTTACTTTCTCCATACACAAAAATTAATACAAACTGTATTGTAGGCCTAAATGTAAAATTTAAAATTTCTAAAAGAAAACAGGAGAACCTGTTTGCAACTGTAAGCAAAACTTGCTTAGTTCACAAAAAGCATTAACTATAAAGGAAGCAGTATATAATAAATTAATGACTGCTCTTCAAAAGACACTTAAAAAGTCAAAGGGCATGCTATAGACAGGACATTTTCAATAAATATATCTTTAAGGACTCATTCTGAATATGTAAAGAACCCTTACAACTCAATAGTGAAAAGATGAAGCCAGCTTTTTTTTAAATGGGAAAATTATTGGATGAATACTTCACCAGAAAAACTGTACGAATGCCAAAGAAGTGCATGAAAAGATACTCAACATTTTTCTCTTCAGGGCAATCCAAATTAAAACTACAGTGAGAAGGTAGTACACATTCACTAAAATAACTCAAATTAAGAAGACTGACAATATCAAATATTTGGGTGGACATGAAGCAAATTCATATTTTTGGTGGGAATGCAAAGTGGTCTGGCCACTTTGGGAAACATCAGTATCTTATAGAATTACATGTATACTTAACCCATAACAGAGCAATCCTTTCCTCAGTTATTTACCTAAGATAAATAAAAATGTTTATACAGAGACTTGTCCTCAAATGTGCATACAAATTTTATTCATAATAGCCAAAAACTTAGAAAAAACTCAAATGTTTATCAACATGAATGGCTAAGCAAATTGTTCTATATTCATAAAATGAAATGCTACTCCACAGTAGAAAAGACCAGGCAGGTCACCAATATGCACAGCACAGATGAGCCTCCAGATTGTTGCGTGAAACATT